TTCTACTAGTACTGATTTACCGAGTGTAACCTCGCAGTACTCATCAGCGTTGAGTATCTCTAGTCCAACATTTTGTCCTGATGACAGCTGTACAACAGCGAACTATTATTATCAAGCTCTTCGTATTAACGTCACTGTAACTGGCTGGTACTTTATTGCATGCAATAGTAGCATAGATACATATGGGTATATATACAATAATAGTTTCAATCCTTCTGCTCCAGCTTCAAATTTAATACTAGAAAATGATGATGATGCAGGTAATGCACAATTTCTTTTGAGCCTCGTAATTAGTACTACCGCAAGGTACATCTTGGTTGTAACTACATATGATAGCAATATTGGAGGAAGCTTTTCAATCATTGCATCTGGCCCAGGACCTGTTCGGTTTACTGCTGCATAGCAATTGACACTGTATCTTGAATCTTTACTTAACATTTATCAACTTTTCTCACAATCGAATCGCAATTCTGATTGTTTATCATTGACATAAATGCTTTTCCCAAATATTTTTTGCTTTATTATGCTAAAAATAATCTTTTCTATTAACCTGCTTTCATCAACTTTTGCCAATTATTCTCTCACACAATTCGCTTTTCAATGTCACATTTTATTTGCTTTCAATTGTCAATAAATATTAATAAAGATACAATATTTCTATTACTATTATTCGTATTACGATATATTGATAGCTAGTTGATTAGAAGATAAAATTGTTACAGCTGTTTATTTTTGTCATTTTCTTTGATAGATTCGAAAATTATATACTAAAATAAAATGCTAAATGATTTTAATCTTGTTTCTTTAATTTATATTTTATTACTCTATTCAATAAGCTATCGACAATAATATCAAATGAGTGTAAGTTGATCAAGAAATATGCTCTTGATACATCTCAAGTTATTCATTTTGATATGAGAAACTTATCTGAAATAAATAACCAAGATATGATCATTGGAATAACTATTTGTTTAATGATTACAAAATCTAAAGAATTCATCTCATGCAGAACCTTGAAAAAGAGTTCTTTTTTAAACTCCATTATACATATGCAACTGCGCGACTCCCATGGTAATAGTATTAGAATCAAAACGTGTCTGAATCGCATTTTATTTGTGTGTAATTCGCAATAGTCGAGCGCGTCTTGACGTCACTTAGATGAAATATTTCTTGCTTGCAGGCGCAGCTCAACATTAATTCTCGTTCAGACACGATTTCTGACAAGTTGCGTGCCAGCGTGGTTCAAACTAAAATTTTGTGTAGACGTGTTCGAATCTGTATGCCAAATTTTAAAAATGTATTACAATTTCTGTTAGGTTCTATCTGAGTCGCCATTAATACTGTCTAATGATGGTTTTTACCTATAACTATAGGCGAACGGAAAGTTCAAATTTTGATGTTTCTAAAATGATAGAAATGAGATTAGAACACATGAACCAGATAGCGATTAGAAACTAAGTGTACATGCCGTTGAGCCAAATGTGATCACATTAGTTAACAGACTGTATATGGATGAGTTATTAGAAACTTATTTACAAGCACATCAATAAATAAAATTCTGTGTAGATTTTGGAGGAAAAATTAAAATTTAGGAAAATTTTAAATTGTCCTAGAAAAAATTGCAACTTTAATTTCTCCTTCAAAAGAATTTTAAATATTCCCATAGTAAAAGTACAAATTTTTTCTAGAACAAGTTTAAATTTTCCTGAATTTTAATTTTCCGTCTAACATCTGTAAAATATTTTAATCATTGTTGCATATACCAACATCTATACTTATCCAAAAAGTTGAGCATTAAATAAATTGAGTAGCATTATTTTTAAAAATTACTTATGGTGAAAGCTATTATTTAAAAAAAAATATTGCGCATAGTTTTTTCAAAATTTCATTACTTTCAATTTTAGAGCACTGATGTTTCAGAATTGATGTCTCTTGTATTTTATCAAAAATTGTATTTTGGGGTGTGGGTGTGGATGGTGTGGGTGCTGGTTCGTGAGTGTGTGGGTGTTTTAAAGAAATAGACCACACCCACACTCAATTCATAGTACTGCCTGATTTTTATCGATTGATTTTATCAAAGATTGCTGCTGGAATCTAATATTCAGAAGCTTCGTTAATCAAATTATCATTGCTAAAGCTTGGAATTCTTCCAGAATGATCTTCTTTCACCAAAAGAGTAAGTAGAAGTCTCTTTAATGAATAATCAGCCCTAGTTTTCTCATTATCTATATCGAAAACTTGTTGCGAACATGGATCTTCAATAGTTGCATTTAATTGTTTTTCTACTTCGATAATAGAAACAGAATCTAGAGAAGCCAGATAGACTAGTAAAGCAGCAGCAGCGTAACGTTGTTTCAATAATTTAGTTGACTTGAGGATGTTGAAAAGAGATTCAATCAACTGACGTCCTGACATAATTCGCACACTTTTAATAAAATAAGAAATATCGAATTTTTGTGATGACTCAAGTACCGCTTGCATGATCATTTCAATAAGATGTAGAGAAACATCTTCAAAACATGCATATACCGCTATACATTGCTCTTGAGTCAATAAACAAACTTTTTAACTTGTTTCATAGACACCTTTCCGAAAAGCAACTTCACCGAACGAACTCTGACGAACTGCATTCCGAAAACCAGCTGGTATGTCGTGACAAGGTGATTTCGCCACCGTCATATAATCCAAACTTCAAAAAAAAGATTCATGATCAAAATTCTTGCACATATCTTCAATGAATAATGGAAGAAGAGTCAATGCGTGTTCTGTGATCCAGCCAGCTGCTATTTCTGTAGAAGAGAATTCAGAATTAGATGTCAGACGATCGCTTGTACTGATCATGTACGAATAGTATACTTCGATAATCTCGTATGTCTCTGATTTTTCGTGTACATATTAGTATAACTTAGCTAATGTGGCATGACGAATAAGTAATGAAGATGAATGCTGTCTTAGATGGTCAAGGTGTTCCAACTTTTTCCTTGCAATAATTTCATCCTGATATTCATCATTTATATATAACGAAAAAATGCATGCAGCGATGAATTCATCCAAATTCTCTTGTTTATTAATTGTAATAGCAGTCCAGAGAATGTTTTGAATTTGTTCATTGTTTGGAAAATGTAATAGATTTTTTCAACGATGATTTTTAGTTTTGCTTCGTGGCAATCAAGCAAAAGTCTTCTAAGAAATTCAGCAAATCTTTCATCGGATGCTAACAAATCACCAAGTAAATATTCAAGAATCCATTGCAGAAACGAGAGATCAACTGAGTCGGATGAACTATTTGACAATGATACCATGAGGTCAATAACATAATCTCTTGCTTCGATGGATAATTTCTTGATTAATTGAAAAAAAGATATTTCGTATGTGGATGTCTTCTGATGAAAATTATTAAACCTATCATGTTCGAACTTTAGAAAATTTTTCATTTGACCAATCGTGTTAATAACTAGAGTAGATAAAAGATGTTCAATATCACCAAATGTTTTCATCTCTTTTTCATTCCAATAGTAGAGATAATCAAGGATTTTATTTGTACACTCCTTCTCCATATTCCATTCGTGATTCTTGATTAATTTGATAGCTCTAGTACGAAGATGGTCATTTTTATTACTCATTAATTGACAACATATTTCGACAATAGTCGGTGTCCAGAGTTGAGATGAGGCTAATAGAATTGCACCATAATAGGCAAATGTGTTCAGTATGGTGTCATCGTGATATTTAAGCCATTCTAGCACAAAAGTACGTGCAGATTCGGTAACATTCTCCTTTTTTTACTAAAGCGTATTGAAGTCGGGAGGCTTCCATTTTTTCTGCTTCGGTAATTGATGATGAAAGAAGCTCACAAATATTCGATGCTACTTCAACATTCAACGGACATGTTGGTTCTTTTTCAAATGCCAGTAAACATTTTTCAAACGTTGATGCTGGAACCGATTCTTGTTTAGTATGGCACTCGGATGTTTTCTTTATCACAGAATCATCAAGGAATCGGACATAAGATGTCATGTCATATAGATACATGCTGGTCAAAAGCGTCGAACAAACATTACTCATATCTGACATTCGGAAATATTTCATGGAGAAATATTTGGAGAAAACTTTTGGAATTAGAAGGAAAAATTTGATTAAATGCTAACGTACTACCAGAGGACTGTAACTGGCGGACATATTGACATACATCACTGCGCAAGGGTGGTATAGTGGCAAGTGCTTGACAAATGGCTGATTGTTCATTCATATTTAGTGTTTCCAGCCGTTGTAATATATTATAAATGAGTCCTTTTTTTAACGGAAAATTCTCATCACGAATAATAGACATGCAACGAACGAAGAGTGCAACATAGGTTAAAAGTGGTGTAATCGACTGGATTTCTTCTAACCACGATATTAAACGGAGAAAATATTCTTTAAAACAATCATTAAGAGATTTAAAAGTCACATCATTTGGAAGCATAAGATAAAAAAATATTTATAGCAGCATCTACTCTCCAAATATGTTGTTTTATTGTCTGGACGATGGTCCATAACTTCTCAAGTGTTTCCTCAGACGACATTGAATATTCATATCTCCGAGTTACTTTAGCAAGACAACAGCAGGCTGCATGCAATTCTAAATCGCTCTGAGCATTATCAATACGACGTCGTTCTTCTTTGGCAGCTAGTTCCCATATGTTTTTCTCAGCGTCGTAGTCCTCGACTATCAGTATGTTACTTGTGAACGAACGAGAAAAAGTATTTTTCAGCGATTTTATAAAACGCTAGGGTGATCGATCCAGAAAGCTTTCAGTAGTAATGAAACGAACCAAATTTTCCATCCTATATTGACTAATTATAGGTGACAGTATAGAAATTAAAATGCAGAGACGAATACAAGGCCAATCTATCATAAGAATGGGACGAAGAGATTCAATCAGCAAATGAAAAAATGGCAAAGGAGACGTTTCATTAAAACATAGTTGTTTTTGTGCAAATAACTCCATGTACAGGTGTCAAACTGGAACAGGAACATAGGCAAGAAGAAGCGTTACTGGCTTATGTTGTAAAAGTTGGAACGGGTGGATTCCTCGTTGTAAAAGATGAATGTCTCCACCTTCAAGTTCTTCAGTTTCGATGACATATCTCGATAAACTAATACAACAAACGAATGCTAATCGTCGAACAATAGCATTTTCATTCCAATCAGCTATATTTGTCAGTTGTATCGTCAATGAAATTTTAATGTTAAGCAAAGCAATTCCTTCAGATAGAAATTGTTTCTGAGATAGAAAAGATGTTCGTGAGTGTAATAAATTAGTATACGCATGGGACATTGATTAAATGAAATCGAGTATATCTTCCGAATTAATGATGAAATCTTCGAAACTATCCAACAGATTTTTTGAAACCTTGAGCGTGGATCTACAAAATAGAATTGGCGTAGGTAGTAATGAACGATTTTCATATGCCATACAGCAGATTGCCAAAGTTGCGAGTCAATATATTTTTCATAATTCGAAGAATTATCAATACCATAGAAACAAAATAATACTATTACAGTATGATTTGCTTCTTGAGTTACAGTTGTCGATACTGCTCTGTCCACTATATTTTGACATTGATCAATCAAATTTTGCAATTTAACTGTCTGATTCGTAGCTGTATCATTGAAATAATCAATGAAAAGATGAGATAGCGGTGAATCACGATGCATGCGACAAACTTTGAACATAATCAACGGACTATTTTTTCGCTCTTCGTACTCCAAACCCCCATACAAGACAATAAGAGCAGTTAATACAGATGAATGAAGTTCTTGTGTTCGAATAGTTTTTGAAAGCAAATATGCTCGTAAACTATTGGGAGGAGAAGGTAAACAATGATGGTTGACTGCAGATGTGATCATTAAGATACGATCAATACAAGTATCAATCTCATGATTATATCGATACAATTGTTTCCAAAGAACTTCACAAAATTGAGTCGTGACCCATTGTGGTAATGGTCGTCTGTAGTGTATTGACCAGTATAATATGTATAATAGTTTTAAGGAGAGTGCTGCATCTCCTTTCATAAATGCATGGTTGAGCCGGTTAATCACAATATCGATTGGTAATCGATCTAAACCACTTAATAATTGACTTCGAAACGCACATTCTGTTTTATCGATTTCAAATTCTAATAAAGAATTTAATATACTGTATATGGTGGATTCCGACGGTAAACAACCTATATCAGCAACGGCACTGATGAACAATAGAGAACCCATCGGTAAATGTTTATTAGTTAGATTTGTTTTAGATTGTAGTTGAATACAAAAACAATCAAAGTTTTCAAAACTCCAATGCAAATTGATCCATCCCAAGGCGAGATTCAGAGGTTCTCGTAGACGAAAAATCGATCCTAAAGACATAAATCGAGTAACTAATTCGTTAATAGTTTCAACTTGATTACAGTGCTCGACATTAACTAGAGCCAAGCATACAAAATATTCTTGAAAAGTCAAACGTAAAAAACCGTAAACGCAAAGAGTTCGTGCAGCAACAATACCAGCGTCTTCACTTATAAATTGCATAAATTGTTGTGTTTGTTGTCGAATATTCATCGAGTTATAATTTGTACCAACAGAACGTTGACTATACCATCGTCGAAGTGATAACCGACATAGATGAGTTAAACCGAGTTCATCAATAAGACCTAGACTTGATCGAGAATGAATATAAAAAGCCATATTGGAAAAGATAGATATTAATGTATCTTTTGGTATGACTGATCGACAATTTTGCCATCTCTGAATCATTGATTCGACGACTTGTTGATACAACTGAACTCGAGTTTTTTTAAGAACATCAATACCATATTGAGTAAATAATATGCAGATAATCGAAAGAACAGAAAGATTTGATGCAAATGATTGAAGAAGTTTATCTGATTCGATTCTTTGAATAAGAATTTTAGAATCGAAAATAGATTTACATTTTGCTCGTTGCCACTTTATTTCTGGAATATATCGAATTAATAAAGGAACAATTTCATCTTGCACATGATAACACCATTGTTTGATAAAATTACTAAGATATTCTATGTTAATCGGTTCAATCATGTAATGAAAAATCAAAGTACTTTGTAAAGGTTGTGCCGTATAATTGACTATTCGACAAGTGAGAATAACTATGTTTCCTCCGATTAAATTTTCACATCGAAATGGACATCCAAGGTTAGCAGTTGCCAAGTATTTATCATCGAATGGCGACTCGACGTCATTTGACACACAATAAGTATTCATAAAATCGTGTATTTGATTATTTATTCGATTATACATTTCAAATATTGTCATTTCATCTAATCCATCGAGAATGATTAATGCATGTCCATTTCGAACAAAATCTTGTAAAACTTTGAATTCCGAATTAATGTAATTCTGCGTTATCCATGTGTTGTGACCAATATAATTAAATAAATTTGAACTAGGATGGTTTTCTAACTATTCGGCAAACTCTCCAATTCGAATTAAAATTGGAATACGTGCTGGACCCATATCGATATCATTTATTACCACGTTCTTCTGTTCGTTAAGCAAATTTCGGCTTAATTCACATGTCAACCATCGTGCAATAGTAGTTTTGCCACTACCAGGACTACCGATAAGTACAATCCAGCGCTCAGCAGCAATCGATTTGAGGAGATCAATACAAGTTACCTGTGTGTCTTGCTCGTTTTTCGAAACATCGATGGTTTGTAATGGCAATATACTGTCTGATTCGTTTTGTTTTAGATTAGATACTCTACGACATAGAATAGGTGGACAAATCAGCGGGATATCAAACTTCTTTAAACTCGATTCAAGAGATTCTCGTTTCTGATCATCAAGAATAATCGGTTGTTCTGAAATACGGTTCATCAAAAGGCTGATATTGTCAAATATACCACATGCACCCATTGTTGAATGTAAATCCAAACATTGACGTAGATACAATTCAAATGTATTTGGATATTTTGATTTTAATGAACTAAAATTTTGTTGACCTTCACTAGATATAATGAACTCATTTTTGCGTCGTAGAAGAGTAGCTTCATATGCTAAAGTGTGATTATCATCACTCGTTGCCACACTATTACGGAATAATCTTCGAAACTGTTCGGAACGTTTTAAAAAAAACACGTGGCATGCGGAGAACGTTCTGCGAAAACGCTTTCGTATACATATCACAATCAGTAAGATACATTTGAACTTTATTTATTAGTCGTGCTGGTAAGTGACCAAATTGTTGATATGTTTCTTCACTAATCAACGTCACTTGATCAGGATCAAAAAAAACACTCTACGAAGATCACTGATATTTTGTAGTAGCTCATCAAAATTTTCATCTATGAGTCGTTGAAATGACCACCATGTATGGCACTCCTTCATATATTTCCCTTGAATCTCTTCTATTTGATTCTCTAATGCTGTGAAACGGTCTTTTAAAATGTCTTTCCAATTTTCTCTATCAATACGAATGTAAATCAAATGAAAATAGTCGAAATTTATTTCTTACTCGACAAAATCAATGGCACCATACGTGGAAATGTAGGTCGAGCTTCTATTACGTCTTAAAAACAACTGAATAACAAAAAGCAACGAAAGAAATGTTTTATGTTTCTACTGTTTACTCCTGTTAAAGAGTGAGGAAGAGTGAAACGAATATATTATTGCGTCATGATCAAGGGCAGACGACAGAAATTTGTAAATAAATAATAGAACGTTAAAAAATTTCATCAAATAAATTCAAATTGATGCTTGTTGCAGATCTAGTCTAACGGTAGATAGTAAAGGATTCCAATGTTATCTTTGCTTCTGACTTTGTTTTCAACTATGGTTTCCAGACACTAAAGATAGATCTTTGCAGAATTTCCTTGAATTCTCAAAGCAGCATCTTAACAACATCGATCGGCGCTTGTTCCAATCCAAGAAGTACTGTAATCCTGAAAACAACTAGAAACTTGTACTATAAATGTACTATATCAAATAGTGGAAAAAAAAATCTAAAAGTCTAATACGTAAGATTGGTATCGTTAGAAAGAGTGTAAAAAACCGGTTCTTACCATAGAATATGAGCAGGGCGTATTGTGCAGTCCACAGCAAAAATTTTTAGAATAAAATTTTCTGACAGAAGAACTTTTTAACTCTTCCTATAGTATTTTTGTCCTTTGTTCTGTCAATCGCGAGGGTTAATAATAAATGGCCGCATTTCAGACCGAAAACCGAAGCGAGGGTGGGTGTGGGTGTGGATGTGCAATGTTCACAAACAGAATACCCACTCACACCCACACCCACACTCCACACGCACACCCCACATCCACACTCACACCCAACCAATATTGTAGGAACGATGACATAAACGAATTCTTTCTGTTGTTTTTACTGAAATAAATAGAGAAAATGCGAAAATACGAACGTCAAAGTTTCCTTGGTTCAAAAATTTTGTAGGAATCATTTTTAAGCAAATTCTATTTTAATATAGTATGTGAGAAACATTTTGGTGTTTTAATCTATTAATTTATTGAGCAAATGGAAATATTTCTATTACTTGTCAATTTGTAGCTTTATGATATATTTGTTCTCCTGCAATAAATTAAAGTCAGATAAACCAAAAGAATGGTGTATTTAATTTCTTACAATATTGTAAACAGAATTCTAGATCTCGATGCATTTTTAAATTACCGTCACAAACACTAAAAGCGTGACTATAGATAAATTAGATATTTTCCTGTAACCAACTTGGTTTAAAATAAATTGAATGTCAAATACAGAGTTAGATATGCTTTTTTTATTCAGCATGTTTCGTTGTGACTAAACAGTCTGACATTCTTTTGAATATTTTTCTTTCTATACTGATGTTTCTTTAAAACAATGACTGTTGTGTAAACTTTTAAGTCAACCATGTCAATAAGTGACATGATCTATTTGTACTCCAATAACCAGTAATATTTCTTGTGCTAAAGGCCAAATATTCAAATCAGTGCGCCCAGTAACATATTTTATACATATCTACATATGAAGCTATGTGAAATGTTGATTTATGGACTCTTATTGGGCTTTAATTCATAGAGTTTGCTGTGTTTTCTTCCATACTATATTTCATAAAAATAGAACTTGAACAGTAAATAATGTTTCAAACTAAGCGCAAATATATCATCGCACAAGTTCACTCCTGTCCATAGTTCATGCTGGAAATGATATACTATTAAGAATTGGACAAACAAGATCGAATACTCTTATCTATATATTTCTTATTTGGCGCATATCATAACGTCATCATTTTTTTAAAGATGGTGCACGAGTATCAGTCTGTATACATAGATTATAGGTTGTCATAATCAGGTATACTTTCAGAGCATTCTCCTAGATTTTCTTACTCTTCTCTCTAGTTTAGAATAGAAGCGACACATTGACATCATTCATCAGTTGAAATAAAAAATATTTGACTAGAGAAGAACTCTCTTCTTAAGGACAAAAAGTAATCTTTTTGAAAGTATTATCCCTATCAGAGAGCAGTTACATTGTCATCGGAATTCTTATTTTCATCCGAAACAAAACAAACTCGAATCTTCTTAATAGTTAAACGTGAGATATATTGAACATTGTTAGTAAAATCCATATGTCGACAATTAAATCACCAACTAAAGAATTAACATTTTTTTTCTAGGAATATTTCCTTAACAATATTCATTGAAGACATGCCCACCCACACTTTTTAACAAACATTAATCCGTTTAACTATATGCTTACCAATGATGAGATTCATTTCATGTTTTTTGGAGCCTAATCAGCCCCATGACTGTTAAGAATGAGTTATCGTTATTTTAGTTAAAAATCTAAACGATTTTCCAACATTTTCTCTGAAACAAAAAGAAAATTATTCTTTGTGATGCCTAGATAATTGGTTCAAACAACTTCAGATAACGTTGAGAAAAACATATTATATGCATTCAATGTATGTTCGCCTGTACCTTCAAAAAGTGAAATCGGCATCTCTCTATCATGTTTCTCTAAAACATGATCCAAAAAACATAATGTCACCGTACCGGATGATAGAAAAATGAAGCTTTCTTTTCTCTGTTAGGATGCATAGAAAGAAACTCTTAAATTTTAATATATGATATTAAGATGTCACTGCCACTATTTTGGAATATCCCTAAGTATTGTAAGATTATCCAGATGACAGCTTTAACCTTAAGATATATTCATGGCATATCTTTGATGATAAAAAACAAACTTTTTTTTTCTTTACTTTCAGCTGAGTCTGATCAAAGTCTTCGTTTAAAAATAAACTCAATCAGGAGCAATTTTTCTAGCATATTCATAGTGTAACTGAAAAAACATCATACCTTCAGATATATATAATTTGTTTGTTACCAATCAGTCCTGAATTCATGAATCGCTACAGGGGGAATCATATTTGCTGAACTAATGGCATGGCTTGAAGCGTAAGTAATAACTTTTCATAAGGATCGAAACTCTACCAGCTTTCAATAAGGATCATTGTGTTTCCTTCTTTGTATAATTATCTAAATGGTAGATAGATTGAACAGGTTGATTTTGGATATGCTTCATCAGTTACTGCTCATTCACTTAGTATTCTTACTAACGATATCCTACAAAAATTAATTTTCTCTTATAGAAGCAATGGATTCACAGAATAATTCAATTCCAGTAGAATTCCAATCATGGTTTATTCCTATTGATATTATAAATATGATATGTTGTATTATTGCTGCTATACTTTCTTCAATCTTCTTATATTTTATCATAGTTGATAAAACGTATTATAAGGTTCCAATGTTATTAGTTGCAAATTCATGTTTAGCTGAACTTATATATGCAATTGATTTGTTGGCTATGACTTTATTTACATTTCACAATGATATAACTCATGATTACTTCAACAGTTCATTTTGTATCTTCTTAGGCAGCATAAGTTACATGTCAGCTGGAATACAAAATTATTCTTATCTTTTACAAGCATTCTATCGATATGTTTTGATTATACGTCCATCCCGATTGTTCTTTCTATCAATGAAACTGAATAGTATTCTTCTTGTTTTAACATGGAGTGGTTGTATTATTTACTCTATTGTATTAGTGTCTACTGGTCAAATAGACTATTTCGTTGATGATCAAATATGTCAAATGCCTCTTCAATTTTCATTTCTAACGATATTTAATGCAATCTATACTTATATTTATCCAATGTTCAGTATTACATTCATATATGCAAGAGTGGCTCGACATGTACATATGATGAGTAAACATATAACTCCAGTTAATAACTTATTTCATGCTCAACGAGAATTAAGAATGTTTCGACGTATTGTTTCGCTTTTATCCGTTGCGATAGTACTTGGAATTCCCTATCAAACATTTGTTATAATGTCGTTTGCTAAAAGAACACCAAAGTATCATTTTCGTATTGCATTTGCGTTTATCGATGCATCATTGATATTCGTATTAGTTGCTCTCTTGAAGATAACAGATCCATTGAAAGCTTCTTTAATGAAAAGAATAAATGGTCGTTCAACCAATATTGTAGGAACGATGGCATAAATAAATTGTTTTTGTTTTTACTGAAATAAATGGGAAAAATGCGAAAAGTGTTACATGCTTCGAATTATAAACCTTACTTTTTTGATGTAATCATGTTAGTCTTAGGATGGGAGACAGACACTACATCAAGTTACGAATTGCTATATTATTCACATATACACTGATAATTTGCTGCTGGCGACTTGGATTTTCAAGTTTCGTTTTAATGTAGATACTTTACAATCATAGCCAAAGAGTTATAGAAATATGTTGGATGATACTCTTCTCTCAAGTCTGACATACATAGTTTCTAGTAGAAGAAAAGAATAAAAAGAACTTCTTTGGATTTATATTAAATCCAGCATCGCTTTTAATTCTTCTTTCTTTCAAATTTGATTTTAGTAACGCATAATGCTGTTATTACAAGATCGAGATTAAGAGAAAATAAATATAATTTTCTACCTTGTTGGTGGTAAAGCTATTGATACAAACATTTTTTCAGTGATTATCTGCTGTTGATTCGACTCTACTGAGACAAATTTTCATCATTCTGTTCAAATGATTGCGTCTACTGTGTTTCTATCAGCATAATAATTAGAACGAGATGACAAAGAACTAATACTAGAATGAACTATGCAAACACAATACTATATTTGATGGTTGTAATGTTAGTCATGATTGTTTAGTTAAAATCAACTAGAAGTGTCATAATGACTTCTTTGTAAATACTGTCTTACCGTTTAAGATTTCTTTTTTATTTCAAGTTCTTCGCAGTAAATGGTTGTAGGAGATATGTAGTATAGTGATTTACAAGACATATTCTTTCAGTGTTCAAGTATAACATGAAGTCAAAAAAAACTATTAATTCTATTGTTTACGATAGGAAGATGAACTCAAATAACGAATGATTGATTTGTTGGATTCTGAATGATCACATCCTTTATATGTGATGATTTTTAAAGTTGTGCCATTTGATATTAACTCCGTTCATAAAAAAAAAGTTGAATCATGTCTCGGCATCGATATTCTTTTTTAAGACTCAAAGGTGGCACATCTGAGACAGTATAATCGAAAAATAACTATCGATTAATTTGATTTTATAATAATTCAAAAGACTTCATAGCCAAGAAAGCAACGATGGATCTTGCTTGAAAACCTACCAGCACTGCACTAGGCATTTTGATTTTGTCATCAATTTGTTCCGAATCTATAGAAAACTACATCTTTCATATATAAAGCCATCAATAATGTATCAATGTTGAGATACTCAATACAACTTGATTAAACCTGTAATCGAGAAATCGTGATGCCAAGGGTGAACACGTAAAAATTTTTAATCAATCTACTGAAGTCAATGTACTAAACAATTTTCTCCAGTAAAATAACATTAAGCTTAACTTGTACTTTAGAAATTCTCAATTAGACTTATACAACTCTGAATAATGACTGCTGAATAAATAAGTAAGATAAATAATTACTTATTTCTACCACGTTATTTTTCATGTAAAATTGTGCGATACTTTTTTAAAAATTCTTTAACAAAGAACGGTGTTAACAAAACGGAAGAAACGTTTTTTCACATCTTCATGAATATATTCTTATTATTATTAACAGATTTAATTACTAAACAGTATACCATTAAAAAATCTCACAAAAGTACTCATGACTATCAGATATGATATCTTAACTTCACACAAGACATTATTTTTGTGTCCTACGATCGACGAAAAAAAACTGAAATTTGAATCAAAATAAGTTCGTAATAAAATCTCTGTATGGTTAAAATTTCAGCTTTTTTTTAAACATAATCTGCACATTGGATAAACATATAAATCAAGTACCAAAGAGTTATCGTTTTTTTTCACATATATAATAGTACTAGTGTAAACATCAATAATTCATGTGGATAAGCTGATTTTTTTTTAAATTAAGAACATCTGAACACTTGATATGTTCATAATAGAGATTTTATGTCGGACAGAGACGTTCTTTAAGAAAAGTCGGTCTCACAAGAAATGCAAGAACACCATAAAATATGTTGTCTAGCGACATTGTCTTAGAAAAAAAAATGAAAGCATCTCAAGAATGGAAAACCATTTCTTTTTCAACGTTTTTCGTAGACATTCATGCAAAACATTTCCTCTTACGGCACAAGTAAAAATTAGTCGTATTGGTCATAATCAGTTGAGAATATGCCTTGATTATATGTCGTCTTGGGCATGTAATATGTCTCAGGTATTACAAAAGTAAAATTGTCTTTTTCTTTTAATGATAACATAATGAGCATAAGTCTAAATCTATAAATTATGACATAGCATAACCTAACATTTCCTACTATTTCGCTCATTTCTCTAGTCTACAACGACTAAGTACTTCTTTTGGCATTTTTAATATGAAGTCCTTTTGTCAATGCTTTTAGTTTTCTGTTCGCTTACATTCTTGATAGATGTATTATAAGCTGTCCTCTAGTCTAGCAATGATCTTCACACCGAAAATTCAGTGTTATCGTTTTAACGCTCCATGAAATTTTCACAATATAGCTTTTTTGATCTTTTCAAGGGTTCCTTATTGAGTAACAAATAATGTTTGAAAAAGACAAGTCGTTTTTGACCCATCCAGATAATTAAAATGAAGATAACATAAGAAGCTCACCATCTACCTATCCTATGAGTTGATTGAATGAAATGTGCTTTTTTTCCATTTTCGATTATAGTGACCGTAAAGAAAGTTATTCCTTTCAACAATATAATTATCTCTTAGAAAAGGAAATCTTCTGTTATAATCATAGAAAAAACAAATAATTTTTTTTATAGCTTAGATTGATCATGCACTGCACATCTGACCGAAAATTTAGTGCTATCTAGTTTTGCTGTCTATTTTAATTTTATTGAATTCGAAATTTTCTCTTTCATAGAAACAATGTCAACTGACAATAATTCCAATCCGGTTGATTTTCAAGAATGGTTTATTTCTATGGATATTTTTAATATGATATGTTGCAGGGTGTGGGTGCGGGTGTGGGTGTGGGTGTGGGTGTGTGGGTGTGGGTGTGTGGGTGGGTGTGGGTGTGGGTGTGTGGGTGTGGGTGTGTGGGTGTGGGTGTGGGTGTGTGGGTGTGGGTGGGTGGGTGGGTGTGGGTGTGGGTGTGTGGGTGTGGGTGTGTGGGTGTGGGTGTGGGTGTGGGTGTGGATGTAGGCATGGGTGGGTGTGAGTATGGATGTGAGGAGAATATTGATACCCACACCCACATCCACATCCACGCCCACACCCACACACCCACACCCACACCCACACCCTCCCACACCCACACCCACACCCACATCCCCACACCCCACCCAC